CATAACGTCAAAAAAATTACGTTCAAATGTTGAATGTCATATTGACGTACAAGTTGGGTCATGGATGGACGTTCAAATTGTGGACCTAGTTTGGACGTTGTATAGATGTCCAGAATTGGTCATGGACTGACGGACCTAATATAGATATGATCTGCACCTCTATCCGACGTCCAATGTTTAGTGGGTCTCTTGCAGCCTCTGACTCGACCCCGTTTCTCCGAGACCTGATGCGGCTGCCCAAGTTCAGTTACGGTGAATATCGGCTCAGCCTCTGAGGCGTGCACACGCTGAGTTACGGCCCAAAGTCCGGCCCAGCCTCTGAGGTACGCACACGCTGGGTTACGGTAACGTCCGGCCCAGCCTCTGAGGTGCGCACACGCTGAGTTACGGCACAAAGTCCGGCTCAGCCTCTGAGGTGCGCACATGCTGGGTTACGGCACAAAGTCCGGCTCAGCCTCTGAGGCGTGCACACGCTGAGTTATGGCACAAAGTCCGGCTCAGCCTCTGAGGCGCGCACACGCTGAGTTACGGCCCAAAGTCCGGCCCAGCCTCTGAGGTACGCACACGCTGGGTTACGGTAATAGACCGGCCCAGCCTCTGAGGCATGCACACGCTGATTTACGGCACAAAGTCCGGCTCAGCCTCTGAGGTGCGCACAAGCTGGGTTACGGTAATAGACCGGCCCAGCCTCTGAGGCGTGCACACGCTGAGTTACGGCACAAAGTCCGGCTCAGCCTCTGAGGCGTGCACACGCTGAGTTACGGCACAAAGTCCGGCTCAGCCTCTGAGGCGCGCACACGCTGAGTTACGGCCCAAAGTCCGGCCCAGCCTCTGAGGTGCGCACACGCTGGGTTACGGTAATAGACCGGCCCAGCCTCTGAGGCGTGCACACGCTGAGTTATGGCACAAAGTCCGGCCCTGCCTCTGAGGCATGCACACGCTGAGTTACGGCACAAAATCCGGCCATAGTAAGCGTACCAGGCCCAAGACAAACTGGGGTCTTCCCTTGGACCCTCACCTTAAAAGGCTTGGAGGCATGAAGGACAGCTTGGATCATCCCGCAGTGCTGCAGAACCCGTTGAGCGG